GTTAAGCAGCTCAATTAAAAATTATAATATATTATAATTTAATTTTTATGATTTGAATAAATTTATTTTTTAAAGTTTTTAGTAAATATTTTTTTATTTTTTAGTTAATAATATTATTTTTTTATCAAATGAGTTACTCTTATGTTAAAAAATTTGTAAAATTTAATTTTTCAACTCTAAAAATTTTTATCTTACAAAATAAAATTTTTTTATAATAAAATATTTAATTATATTTATGATTTTATATTGAGAGTTTTAAGTTTTAAATAACTTATACTATGTAATATAAATTAACAATATTTTATAGGAAATTATATGATTATTATATTTCCATTATTTTATCAATCTTATTAATTTTTTAATATTTATTATTTATTACGTCATCCGGTTCGACCCCGGGTTCGACGGTCGAACCGGTCGAACCGTTGAACCGTGAACCTCTCTTTCTTCCGGTTCGATGTCCGGTCCGGTTTTCAAAACTTTGATTAAATTTATAAATTTTTTTGTTAGATTTGAATTAAATTTATAGATTGAATATGTTTAAATTTAAAATTACATAAGAAATTATTATGTGTGAATTCAATTTATTTTTTTAATAGAAAATTTGATATTATTACATGATTATTCTATCATTTAAAATTTATTTGAATAATTTTTATATTTATTACATCATTTGGTTCAACCCGGTTCTACTTCAGTCGAATCATTGAACCATGAACCTCTCATTTTTCCAGTTCTATGTCCGGTCTAATTTTCATAACCTTGAGTAAAACCACTCATCCACTTGAGCATCCTCATCTCTTCAATACTTAATTTTGTGCTTCTCTTTTAAAGGCTAATATTTTGCGCCATAAAGCATGGCAGGTCTCACCACCATCTTATAAAAATTTTCCTTAGGTTTGAGGCGTACTTTTCTATCATAAGAGGCTCGATTTATTCTTCTACTTCAACCATCCAACTTGAACTCTACTAATATTATTCCCATCAATTTCACCATCACTTTGAACTATAGAGCTGAGATATCTAGAACATATACTCTTTTTAATGACTTGATCGTCCAAAGTCACAATCCCCCCACTAGATCTGTTGCTTTTAAAATTATACTCATGTGTTCAGTTTTAGATCTACTTAAACGAAAACCTTTACACTCTAATGTTGATTTCTATAATTTAAGTTTTTCTTCAACTCCATATCTAGTCTTATCAACAAGAAGAATATCATCAGCAAAATCATTTACCAGGGTACATTCTCTTACAAATGTGTAGTAAGAACATCCTTGACTAAAGCAAAAAGATATGAGCTTAAAGCTGATCTTTGATGTAATCCAACTGAAATAGGAAAATACTTGGTCAATCCACTTTGTGTTTGAACACAAGTAATAGCTCTTGCACACATATCCTTAATGACTTGAATATATGCTTTAATTACATGACCATGATTGACCAAAATGAAGGTATTTGCAATTTAAAAGCATTAATGATTATTGATAACCC